CCTTTCTATTGCGTGTCCTTCGGTAAACCATCAAGTCCACTCATTTCTTCTAAATCGTATTGGTAATCCAGTTTTTATATGAATTCTAATAAGTCAAAATGCTTTTAGTAAATTACTGATTCGAAGGACCCTTAAAATTTATGAAGGGCTTTATATAGTTGTTTTCCGGGAATTTTATCTGCAATCCACGGCTTCATTTTTTGTGCGAATGTGCAATATGTAAACGCAAAGTAAAATCGTGTAGGCGAGTGTCTAACCGAAGTTATTATAGAAAAAAGTATTATTTTCAGAGAAAATGATGTCCATGGCTGTTCGAGGTCTTAGCCGAGCTACACTGCCAACCACGTAAGTTGCGTTCAGTTCTAATTTTTATTTATTCAGAAAAAAAATTAATTCCTGTTCCAGAATGGGTCTACGTTCAAAGCATTCTCTTCCCGATCTTCCATATGATTACAACGCACTTGAGCCTGTGATTTCTGCTGAGATTATGCAACTTCACCATCAAAAACACCACGCTACCTACGTAAATGGATTGAATACTGCTGAAGAGAAGCTTCACGAAGCTCTTGCAAAAGGTATGGGGACCTTCTCTTGCCTATAGTTTCTCAGTTTACCGACTTGGTAGATGTTAGTTCGAATTTTAGGTAATGTCAAGGAAGTGATCTCACTGCAACCCGCCCTGAAGTTCAACGGAGGTGGACATATCAACCATTCCATATTCTGGACAAATCTATCCAAAGATGGTGGAGAACCAAGTTCTGAATTGATGTCTGCCATCAAGGTAATTTCTCATCTTTTTTATGAAATTGTATAAATCCTGTTCGATCCGTGGGCTTCAGCGATTTTTCGAGTAGAGGAGGAAGGTAGAAAAAATGTTAGACTAAGAGGCATGGCTTGCCATTTCTTCGATAACATTTTCAGTTTAAATTGGCTCGGAAAATAGGTATTGGTATTTATATTGGTATTAATCAGCTTACCATTTGGAGTTTATTTTTCGGAGATCTTGCGAATTTTTGTTAACATTTTGACTTGAACAAAAATTATATTTTGGAGAGATTCTTTAGTTCTACGAGTTTTGCAAAATTATTTTGATCAATTAAAATTTTACGAGTTCTCAGTTTTGTAATTCATATCCTTTTGCAAATTTTGACACTCGAATTTTCTTAGCTACGCCCCCTTCCTTTTTTT